AGAGAGAGAGAGAGAGAGAGAGAGAGAGAGAGACTGAGAGACTTTAAATTGAGTTAGTCTGTAACAAGGAGCAATGCCTCCCTCAGACACCACGGGCTATTTAATAAACTCCAGTGCTAGGTATGGGTTACCTCTTTTCAACCTGTTTGTCAGTGGGGTCTCAGAGATTCCCCCAAACTTTACAGGTTATTGCACTGTTCTTGGTTACCCTACAGAACTGAGGGTAAGACCCTTTTGCTGATGATAACACATACTTGAATCACAAGACAGGGAGAAATCAAACTAGTATCAACTTAGAATCTCAATCTTTTTTGGCTAGCTTTCACACTGCTGGCTGGAAGGTGCTACGCATGCTATCCAGGGAGAAATATAATCACCAAACTTGCCATGCTGTGAACTGTGCAAGCCCAGTAACAACTGGCCCAACAAGATGTGCCCACTGGTGCAACAGCGGTGAAAATGTTATAGGATGTAAAGACAGCGTCACAAGACAGAACTCTTGCCCGACACCTTTACCTGGGCCAAAAACCTCTTGCTGGCTACGTCACAGGACCTTGCTGGAGAACCTAATACTACTATTTAGCTAATGAAAATAATGATAAACTGCCTCCTCAGTTCTTACCTAGACCTATGGATTTGTGCATCTCTCAACCACCTTCAGAGAAGGTTCTTTTTACAGTGGAGAGCAATTAATACAGCTCTAAATGAGACATCTATATCACAGTCCATCAGTTCAGGTATCAAGGTGGAAGAGGGGGTGGAAAGATTATGAACAAGAGGTAGATGTTTGCAGCGAAATGGTATTCGCCAGATGAACTCACAGTGGCTGTGACTGCATGCACATGATCTGCACAAGATTAAGTCAGCTAGAATCCCAGCATGCATTCGGGAGGGGCTCTTCAAGTCCCACCACCTGCTGAGGAGCTATTGGTAATTGGTGGCTGCTGGAGGAGGGGGAAAGTTTCTTTCCTGGATATAGCCACCTGAGAGGCCCCCCATGCTCCAGCAGATTGTCCTATACCCATGCTCACTAAATGGACTCAGTGGGTTGAAAACCCTGGTACAAGAAGTCGGTTGGTAAGGAACAGTGCTGATGAGGATAGGGGAGAATTTGGAGGGGAGTGCATTTGCTCAAAATATTATTTTACTAAGAAAAACACCTGTCATCTGAAAACAGAATAATGTTGAACAGGGAGATTAGGTCTACACATCTCAATACATTAATATCTCCCCTCGAGGTCTGAAAAGCTTAGTCAGAGGTTCTTGTTTATGCAATCTGATAGAACAAAGGAGTGCTAAGATAACAGTGTACTCCACTCCTAACTAGGCTATTATTTATGCACCCTGATAAAACAAGGGAGTAGTAAGCTCAATGGTGTGTTCCACTATTGGCATCATACAATATAAAAATGCAAACCTAATGTCTTTTTAAAAATGATTTTATTATTTTTATTTATATATGTGTGACTGCATGAGTTTATGTGTACCATGTGCATGCAGGTATCCTCAAAAGCCAGTTCAGAGACCAGAGAGTATCAGATGCCTTGGGAATAGAGTTACAGATGTTAACTGCTTGATGTAGGCGCAGGGAACTAAACCTGGGCCCTCTGCAAGAGCAGTAAGTGCTCTTAACTACCCAGCCATCTCTCCAGCCCCTAAACTCAATGTCTCAGAGCTAACCGGTTGGAATTATGTAGATCGTGTTTATGAAAGCACTATATTGGTGCAGCTCAATAATAGAGTGAATGTCCAGTATGTCTGAAGTCTTAAACTCAGTCTCTGGTGCTGTAAAAAGAAGTATGTATGTGAAAGCACATACTTTGTATCTATACTATAAAAATATTATGACTATATTATACACATTGTATAATAAAGAGTATTTTGATATATTCTAAAAAAAATATTATTTTACTCATGTACGAAATTCTCAAACAGTTAAAAAAAAAAGAGAATGAGGCCTCCTTTTTGGCAGAAAAAGAAATTATGCCTCCCACAGTACTATTTTATAGAACTGACAGAAATAATAATGTCCACATACTAAACAGATGTTCATTAACATTTGAATAAATTGCATTTTGCTAAGTCCCTTTGAAACACACGAACATAAACTATACACCTTATTTTAAATTCACTGTTTAATTTCAGTCAGCATATTGACTCAAATATCCCATGGAGGGAAAATGTTGCTCTAACTCCTAAGAGTTTTAGAAAAAAAAAAAGGTGTAAAGAAACTTAGCAAACAAGACTGAGAAATTCAGCACTAGTAAAGTATCCATTTAAGCACACTTTTGATGTGCTTTGCCAACACTAGTCTTGCTATCAATTTATTTCCTTATGAAGTCTATGTTATTTTGCTCATTTTTTTTTTGTTTTTTGTTTTTTTCAAGACAGGGTTTCTCTGTGTAGCTTTGTGCCTTTCCTGGAGCTCACTTGGTAGCCCAGGCTGGCCTCGAACTCAGAGATCCGCCTGCCTCTGCCTCCCAAGTGCTGGGATTAAAGGTGTGCGCCACCACGCCCGGCTATTTTGCTCATTTTAACTATCTCTGATAACAGCTTAGTGTCATACAGAGCTCAGCTCAGTCTAGGATGCTAAGCATCTAACTTTTCTCTCCTGACTACACCTTCTAGGCTTAGGGCTGTAGTCTAGTAATATAGTGGTTAGCTTGTTCTTTACCTATGCCATTCAGAACTTTAAAGATTTCTTTGCTCTAAGCATAGCTCTATAAGTAGTAACAGCTTAGCTCATCTTTATGTGGGAAACTATTCCAAATGTCATTGTTTTACTTATTTCTTTGATCTGAAAGAAAATATTTTCCTTTTGTTTTCATGACTTGGGTTACACTGACCACTACAAGAAATCATGCTAAAAGTTCCTTAGAGATTTTTTCCTTTGAGTAACACTACCAATATATTTTAAATTAGTCACTGAAATATATTTGACCCAAGCACCAGGAAGATTTTCTACTCCATTATACCAACTTGTAGCCTCAAAAAATTTCTTTATAGCTTATATCCACTGGCCTAATATTCTTTTACCCATCAAAACTTTAAAATCTTGGGTAGTTCAAATGTACTTTTTTTATTTCACATCTCTGAAGAAATGAGAATCTCCTACAAAACCCTGGAAAAAGCACTTACCACTTCTCCTTAGAGAACTATTTGTTCCGAGACAGGGTCTCTTTATGAATCCATGAATCTCTATGGCTTGAACTCTGGATCCTCCTGCCTCAGTCTCCCACAGTGCTAGGATTATGGGCATACTCCACCATGGCCAGCTTGAGGAACATCTTTTGCTGGTTAGATGTAAGCCGGTTCCACTTCAACAAAAAGTATGCTTATAGGAAAAGTGTGTGTGTGTGTTGGGGAGAAAAGGCTCATTACAATAGTTTTGAACTTGCTTTATTATCAATACAGAATACAAAAGTCTAATGCTTGAGAGATTTCTTGTTCCAAGATATACTCAACACTAGCAAGACTAAACATTAGAAAAGAAACCATTCTATACTTTTCATATAGTTTGACAGTGTCATTACCAACGTTTTAATGACACAATTTGTACTTATCAAAACTATGGAACTATAAGTGCTAACACAGTCATGCTGGAGCTCCATTAACAATTGCTGCAGAAGCTGATTTATGTAAGAGATACTGATGACAACCCTTGATAAATGTTTAGGAACTATTCGTCATACTATACAATTTCTGAAAGATGGGATTACAGCTGTCCTAAATAAACAGAAATTTCAAGATACTTTCATTTCTCAGATTTCACATTATATCGTGTTCATCACAAGTGTAAGAATTTTTTAACAGAAGTAACATACACAACCTATAATAAAATGCTTCCCTAAATGATTCTGGGTCTAAGTAGAAAGAAAACCCATTTTGTTCTGACTTTTAATACTAAAATCTTGAAAAAGTCTTTTCTTTATTGCAGAATAAACACTATAAGAGACACTGAAGTAGTAACATACTATCAAAATATACACAAATGGCAGCTATGTAATTTTCATGCTTTTTACATTAGAAATATGTATTTCTCAATCTAATCTCCTGATGAACCACTTCCAATATCAATATTGAGGAATTCTTTGATTTTATCATATAACACCAACACCAAAGCACCCCCTGTACCACGGAGGATGTTGGAGAAGGCACCACGGAAGAAGGCAGCTGACCCTTCATGATGGTATATTTTCAGAAAGCAGTCTATGGTTCCTTTATATTGCCGATCAGACTCACCACTCTGTTAAAAAGACAATTTTCTATTAGTTTATTATATTTAGGACATTTTAGGACATCAGCACTATGAGTAAAATTAATGCTGTGTTGAGTTAGTGAGAATATACTTAATACTGCACTGAGGAAGTGAAGAACGTCCACATTTTTCAGAAACATTTGAAAACTGACCATATACTAGGTTTGCCAAATGTTAAAGGATGATATCACATAAATCATGGTTTAATCTTACCACATTTCAATTAACTATAAAAATATAGAGCAAGTATCACTAGAAAATTGTGATTAGGAAAAGCGTTTTTTTGTTTGTTTGTTTTTAAGAAAACCTGGAAAAACAAATGACCTCAGACTCTTTAAATTAAATTTGTAGATGCAGTATGAGTGATAAGTTTATAAGGGGCTAAAAAGATTGATGAGCTTTAAACATTTAAGAAGAAATAAAGTAGGAACAGTGATTAAGTACAAGTCATAAGGGAAATAGAAACAAGCACACATGATGGGGAGGTGGCTCAGAGCTTACTTTAAGCGGGAGGACCTGACTGCACACCCCCAGAACCCACTTAAAGCCCAAGTCCCATGGTTATTATGTAAGGTGGGAGGTGGAGACTGGAGACTCCTGGGAGCTTGAGGGCCAGCAAACCTGCTACTGGCAGGGAAACAAGAGACCCTGTCTCAAGCAAGGTAGAAAGTGAGGCCTGACACCTGAACGGTCCTATGACCTTTACATGCATGCCGGCACTCACACAGATAAGCACATGAGTATGCATTCACACAAACACACAAAGATTTTTTTAAGTTAAAAGATAATGAAAACAATAACATGAAAACTTAAACCAGTTCTTTGAAATATTTTGGGAGAAATTTTCTGTAAGTAATGTTTTAGAAAAAGAAGAATGGCCTCCAAATTATTAGAAATGTCATGGACAACATAAATGCAGATGATCATAGATTTTAAAAAGTAACATATGGGGGCTGGAGAGATGGCTCAGTGGTTAAGAGCACTGGTTGCTCTTCCAGAGGTCCTGGGTTCAATTCCCAGCAACCACATGGTGGCTCACAACCATCTGTAACAAGATCTAGCACCCTCTTCAGAATAAAAAAAAAGTAACATATAACCAACTCTGTAATAATTATTTTTAAAACTCAAGAAAACAGAAAATTAATCCTACCAAAACATAATTTACAATTTCCAGGAAAATAAATCCTAGAACTACAGAATCAGTGTCTCAGAACTGCAACTGTCAAAGTCACTGTCACGAGGAAAGCTGCATAGTCCCTGGGTTCCACTCATCAGTCACTGAGCTCTTCTTCCCGGAAGCTGAATCTCATCACTGTAGGCAGTATGCATTCCTTTGCTATGCATTCCTAGGTCCTCTGCACACTTCCTTTCAGTCATTAACTGTTTGTCTTCAGTACAGCACTATGAGTTTGGATGCAGGCTGTATTTGTATTACCAGAACTTAGTGTAGACTAAGTATTTAAATATTTATTCAAGAAATGAATGTAATGTGCAAATGATGGAATACATAAAGTTTAGCATTTTGTTTGGAACACAGGTTATTCTACTTTTTCACCCTTGGACTTAAAGATTATATAACTTTCATCAAAATATACCGTAACAGGAAATTATAATGCTAATGGCCTATAACTGAGTTTACTTTACTTGAGATAATACGCTGTGGGATAACCCCTCTGTATGCTGTAAATATGTTTTATTACCATTGGTTAATAAAGAATTTGTTTTAGCCTATAGCAAGGCAGAATAGAGTCAGGCAGGAAATCCAAGCAGAGACAGGGAGAAGAGGGTGGAGCCAGAGAGATGCCAGGCCATCACCAGAGGAGTAAGATGTATTAAGGCACAGGTAAAGCCACAAGACACAGCAAAATATAGATTAATAGACATGGATTAATTTAAGCTGTAAGAGCTAATTAGTAATAAGCCTGAACAATAGGCCAAACAAGTTGTAATTGATATTAGACATCTGAGTGACTATTTTAAAAGTGGCAGTGGGACCGGGGAGGACAAAAAAGCCTCTGTTTACAAATATTTCGGTTTAGATGGATATCTGAAGGCTGGAGGGATTGCTCAGCAGTTAAAACACTTGCTGAACTTTCAAAGGACCTAAGTTTGATTCCCAGAACTCATATGGTGGTTCACAACCATCTGTAAATCCAGTTGCTGGGGATCCAGTGCCCTCTTCCTGGCCTCCTTGTGTACTAGGCACACAGCTGCTGCACAAACATACACAAAGGCAAAACATCTATACACATCAAATAATAATTATTCCAAAAAATTTAGAAAATGGACATATTCATCCAATCTATTACTCCCCTCCACACTCCCAGAAATTCAGAAGAAGAAGGCAGTTTGTTCTCACAGCAGAAAGGAAGAAGCTTTGTTGGCTGCTGGCTCAAGCAGGAATATAGGATGTAGACAAATGAACTTGCCTTCCAGATAAAATGTCTCTGAAACTCAAACACATTACATCTGCATGTAAGACACAGATTCAGTTAAACTCATAAACACATTACCTGCATCATCATACGTCTTCTAACTGTGTCAAAGGGATAGGAGAGTATTCCAGAGCAGGTAGTCACGATTTGAGCAATGATAAAAGAGATAAGAAACGGGATTTCCTTTGGTTTTGGCAATAAGCCCTAGGAGAAAAATGCATCATGTAATTAATAATCTAGTTTTCCAAAGTATCTTAAATTCTTAATTCAAAGGATATTTTTATAAATATATGAATGATGAAATAATATTTAAAGTGCAATTAAAAAACATCTGGAGCTGAGAAAGTAGCTTGGTGGTAAACTGCTGGCTTAACATGTAGAAGGCCCTGCATTTAAAATCTGGAACCACAGTCCAAGCCAAATCTAGTTTATGGAGTTCATAACAGCAGACTAGCAAGAAAAGGTATGATGTCCACATATGATGATGCTTCAGGATTTATGGAAATAAAGCATATTTCCTATTAAAATTAGACTCATTATTATGGCACCTAAACAAAATGTCAGCATTCAACCACCAAAAAAAGGTATTTCTTGTATAGGTGAAAAGTGAAAAGATACCTGATGATATGTGATGAGCAACTTTAAAGCATAGTGAAGAAGCATTCCTAACTGTCACTACTGCAGATATCAGAAAGGCAGAGGGAGAATGCACAGGACATGTTCTGTGATTACATTACATTCTGTGCATTTGAGATGCCATTTCCAATAATATACTAAGCTAAAAGTAATCTTTCCAGACCACAATGATATTTAACTACATTTATAGTATTAAAAGAGGAGTAACATGTAAGTCTAGTATAAAAGTCCTTTCAACTTAATAAAAAAAACCAATAATATTTTCATTGATTGCATACTACAGTGGTTAATAGCAAAAATGTTCTGTTTATCATTTAATAAATATATTTAACAATTCTTAGGTTATGTATCTTCAAAATGTGTGTCTTAAACTTACAAAATAACATGAAGTTGTAGAGTACTTAATAAGGTTTGTAGAATGAAGTAACAGCTCAAAAATGGCAGCCATTATTATAATCTTTCTTTTTCCTGCATTATGGAAGTGCTATTCAAGTCTGCATTGCAAAAGCAAACTGCAAAGCAAGCTGGAAAACAGCACAGAATCTAACAGTAGCCAGTGGTTGAACCAAGCCACATGTTATTAGCCCTTCCTTAGTTCCCACAATGATTATCTGCATATAAAAAGTGGTAACAAAATTAACATAAGTCAGCAAAAAAGTTAGAACATGTCTTATTATTTGCTGAAGATACAGAGGCCCAACCAGTACACTTTCCATGACATCCTGTTTATGATGCAAAGACCTTAAAAGCTTCATTGTTGACAAAATGTTCATGCAAAGTCAGTTGTAACAGTTATAATTTAACTGAATTATATAGTCATATAATTGTCATGATTAAATGGATTAGATGAAATTTCATCTCTATTTTATCACTGATTTTGATTTATGTAATTAAAGTAACTATATGTTAATTAGAATATACTAATTAGGATAAAAGGAACAAACCATATATTTAATAAACCCATTTAAAGTCACCAAATTACCTTAATGGTGTCATAAGCTCCAAAATAAGAGGCTCGGTAAACAATGATACCCTGAACGGAGACACCAAACCCTTGGTACAGACCAATAATTCCATCTGACTTTGCTATTTTCATAATGCAGTCACCTAAACCCTTGAATTGCCGTTCCTCAGGACCTAAAATAAAGCAATGAAAACTATAAGTAACATTTACATCAAACATCTTAATCAAAGTAATTAAACATTTTAAAGAGTCAAATGATCTGAAACTTCTACCCAGAAAATTTTCTAACTAAAGGACACAAATAATCTTCCCATTCATTCAAGGTTTCATGAAGTATTTTAAAAGAAATAACTGAAAATATTAATGTCTTACAAAGTAAGTAATTTGACTTGAAATATTTCATCAAAATTATGAGAAAATATTTAGGGAGAAACAATGGAAATCTCCAGGGTGAGAGTTGTTAATCTCACCAAAGGAGAACCACTATAAACAAATAAGGCATACAGAACTCTCGATGAGAAAAACAGACAAGTTACAAGCAAGCTTTGGGTTTACTCTGTTGTTAAATGCCTATTTCCATTTCTCCTTCAAGAAGAAAATAAAAGAAGACACTGTGTAGCTAGAGAGTTTCTCTCCAGGTCCCACCAAGCCCCGCAGTCCCACAACCAACGTATAAAATAATCACTCAGATGCTTATATTACTTATAAACTGTATGGCCGTGGCAGGCTTCTTGTTATCTACTTCTTCTATCTTAAATTAACCCATTTCTATTAATCTATAAGTCGCCATGTAGCTCGTGGCTTACCTGTACCTTACATCTTGCTTGTCATGGCGGTGGCTGGCAGGTCTCTCCCTCTGCCTTCCTGTTCCCTCAATTCTCTTTTCTGTTAGTCCCGCCTATACTTCCTGTCTGGCTACTGGCCAATCAGTGTTTTATTTATATAGAGCAATATCCACAGAAATACTGTAAGCCTGATGGCTACATATTGATTCTGAATAAATTCTGTAGACTAGGAACTGGAAGGATGGCTCAGTGGTTACAATGTTTGCTGCTCTTATGAGGACATGAGTTCAGTTCCCAGCACTCATGCGAGATGGCTTATTAATGCCTGCAACTTCAGTTGCAGCTCCTGGCCTCTAACAGCACCTGTATACACAGACACATATACATAAATAAAAATAAATCTCAAAAAACTGTTATCTTTGATAACAGTGTTGATACTGTTTATAGATGTTTCAAAGTACAAAGGAATAGTTAATACTAATAAAAACTGTACCTTTTCCAATATCAACACCTAGTCGGGTTCTGGCAAAATCTAGTGGATATACCACACACAAGGATGTTGCTCCGGCAGCCCCTCCAGAAGCCAGGTTTGCTAGAAACCATCTCCAGAACTGAAATATGCAAATTTAAAAAGCATTAATCTGTAAAACCTGACTGTTAAAATAGCTGATCTAATTTTCACAAAGGTTAAAAAGTAACCCAATATTCATAAGCTGCTCTTATGAATATCTATGACATATGCAAAATGTTTCCCTCATATCCACGCAGCCTCTCCCCACCATCCTACTCCCATGCTGGGGATAGAGCCCAGGACAGCATCATGGGCTTATGGGAATAGAACAGATTACCTAAATTGGGGCTGTTAAGGAAAATGCAAGATACAAGGCCTTTGTAACCACAAAAGAGTTAAATAAAAATATTCTAGTCAAATTCAGTCTCCTGCTACATTTAGCCCTAATATTTCTAAAGTTAGTTTTAAGTTTTAGACTGCTTTGAAATTCCTGATTTCATCTTGGCCTAGAATGCCCTGCCCATTGCTTTTCGTAAACAAAAACAGTTGTTGCACCATGCTGAACTTCTACTTCCATGACCTCTCTCCGCTCCAGCCCTGTAAAAATGTCTATAACCATATCCTCTTCCTATGAATATTATAGATGAATCAAAGGACCAGGATTCAAAATGTGTCACTACATTCCAGACTTAAACTTTTTCAACTGTAGTTATTTATATATACTTGCACTCCTTCAGATTATAATTCTTGAGGCCAAGATTATTTTTACTTAATATATTTAAATACAATTCATACTTAATACAATTTATCCTTGAATACAATTCAACAATGGTTGGATTCACAGAGTTGAATAATCACCAGTTTTAAAACATTTTTATGACCTCCAAAGAAATTCTATATATTCCCTAACTCTCTGAGCTATTAATATTTCTATTTCTATAGTATTAATAATTTGGAGATGCCATATGAACAAAATAACACAATTTGTAATTATTTGTGGTGGTTTTTTTTCATTGGATAATGCTTTCAAGGTTGATTCATGTAACATCTATTACTACACTTAATCCTGTTTAACTGTCAAATGATAGTGCTCTATGGATGGACACGTTTGATTTTATCTATCAGCCAGTTGTTTTCATTGGTTGGAAGCCAGATTCCTAGGTCATCTGTTTTTTTACAGAGCAAGTCATGAGACTTTGCCCAGAGACACATGGTTAATGAATAGTTGTTTTAATGAGTATATAAGTAATGACACTTACTATTTCCAGATTCTTGTGGATCCTTTTAAGTGAAATGCACCTGTACTACTGTGTATCATGTTACATAGTCACAGAGAGCCAATTGTATCAGGAGATTACATGTGACACTGGGGTAGGTAACTAACCCACAGAAATCTGGCAGAAAACTATGAGCTGGGCCAGACTTTCTTAGGAATCTGACATGAGAAAATAGGAAGTCTTTGCAGTTAGTAAGAGTAGAAATGGAAATGTTATTCATTTTTTGATATTTGATACTTCAAGTTTTTTTTAATTTAGAGATAGACTCATTCCCAGGAGGTGGGGGGAAGAAATCACATATGTATAAACATACACATCTGATGTTACAGGTAGTGTTCACATAGCATGGATCCCAGGTTAAGACCCTCTGACCTAAAGAAAGTCTACCAAAGATCACTGTGATAGTAACCTTGAACTTCAAATTACAAACATGTAAGTATGCCATTCTTGCACCTCTGGAGTGAGTCCCACTTGGTCATAAGGAATACTTTCTTTTCTTTCTGATGTGCTGATGGATTTCCTAAGCTAGAATTCTGTTGAAGGTTTTTTCTTTCATCCATGCTCATCAAGGGTATTACCTTCTCATGTCATTTTTGGTGTATCCTTTTTGGTATGATGGTGATAAAGGAGGTGACTGGCTTACATATTTACTGTACTTTTTAGTCTAGTTATTAAAAAGTTTACTATGTTATTAAGCCTCTCATACCCTTACATATCTTCTGTTTGCTATGTTTTTGTTTGTTTTTTTTTTTGTGTGTGTGTGTGTGTGTGTGTGTGTGTGTGTGTGTTCATGTGAAGGCCAGAGGACAACTTTGGGTGTCATTCCTCAGGTGCTATATACCTTGCATTTTTGGAGCAGGGTGGGTGTGGGGAGTCAGGGTCTCTTACTCACCCAGAGCTCACTGATTAGACTAGGCAGACTGGCCAGTAGGCCCCAGGCCTCATGCCTCCCTTCCCCAGCATGAGGATTACAGGTGCATACCACCAATTCTTTTTTAAATATGTGTTGTAAAGTTTAAACTCAGATCCTGCTTATGCAGCAAATATTTTGTCTACTAAACTATCTCCCCAGGTTTCCTCCATCTGTTTATTACATAATTTTCTCTTGGCTTGACCTTTCTTGTCTTAGCTTCTGTGCTGGAGATTAAACCCACAGTCCTACACACGCAAAGCATGTGCTCCACTACTGAACTACACTCCAGAAACTCCTCTTATGCTACATTTCCATAAAAGAAAAACAATTCACTGCTTTAGGGAATAAGCAACCCCAGTGGTAGGTAATACAAACCTGATGGCTGTTTCTTTATGCTTATGAGAGCAGTAATTATAAGATAAGAATTACATTTAATATTTACTCTGGGGAATAATGCCTTGAGACTAATGATCCCTCAGTTATTGAAGCTAAGAGATTTCAGGAACATTGTTGAAGCTAATATAATTTTTATATATTTTCATAACAATATATATGCTAACTTGTCAACATTTAATGTGTTCCATTTTTATTATTTTTACATCTACCAGAGTACCTTCACTCTAAATAAGACATTATAGGTAAGACAAATTCAATAGTTTCTTAGAAAATTTTAGACATATTGAAACATAATTACCTGTTTTTCTTTATTAACTCCAGACATGAATAGTTGTTTATATTTGTCCTTAAAAGCAAAGTTTAAAGCTTGTGTTGGAAAGTATCGAATAACATTTGCCAAATTGCCACGCCAATAACTTAAAAAACCTACAGAATCAAACACATAAATCCATTTTGCATTAGTAAAGAATTAGTAAAGAATGTGTTTTAACATTCCTACTGAAGAAAAAAACCGCAGCATTAACTATGCAGCCCATCCCCATTTTGTTCATCTAAAAACCTTATCAAAAGTATCAGCTAAACAAAACAGGACTCATCAATGGGAAAAAAACAGAGCTCACTAATAACCTCCAGCCTCACCCCCAAACCTTGATGCCATTTCCTACAGTAATAAAGCTGTTATGTTAGTACACTGCACCAAACAAACAGATCCACTTACTGAACTATACATACAATGAACATTAAAAGGGGTAACAGAAACCCTCTATCTTCTTCTTTTTATATTCTGGAACCATTTTGAAGGAGGGCTGGAATTTACAGAAAAGGGAGAAGAGGGATGCTCAGTGGTGGAAGAGGAGTAGATCCATTTTACCTCAAGGTAGTCTCTCAGCTGGGTGGTGGTGGTGCATGCTTTTAATCCCAGCACCTGGGAGGCAGAGGCAGGTGGATCTCTGTGAATTCAAGGCCAGCCTGGGCTACAAAGTGAGTTCCAGGACAAAGCAACACAGAGAAATTTTGTCTTAAAAAAAAACAAAAACAAACAAACAAAATTCAAGGTAGTCTCTCCTAGTCTGTTTAAGTATTAATCCCCCACCTCAGTTCTTCATGGATTGACTGCTCAACCCTCATGATTCAGCCATCATGGGACTTGAAATCCAGAGCTATCCTTATAGTCCAGAGCTCCCCTAGAAAATGACAGTTAACTCTTCCATAATCTTGATGGCAAACTGTCAAGTGCTTTGACTGTGTACTTTAAATAGGGTTATCTTCAGTCCCAACCTAGAGAATGCCCCAAATCAGGCCCTTAAAAATAAACATTCAAAACACAGTGATTTAATAAAATGAAATGTTTCCTTATCCAGGACATGAAAATGGGGAGAATGCAAATTAAAACCACAGTTATTTTGTATCTGTTAGAACAGCTACCATCAAAAAGACAAAAATATTAATTAAGTATGTAGGGAAAAGAACCATGTTTAATGTATGAGATTCTCTGCAAAACTAAAAGCAAAACTACCACAATCCCACTCGTGAGTCCGTCCATGGAGGAACTAAAACAGGATGTTGAAGGGGTCTGCATATGCATGTGCAGTGCTACACACATCAGCTAAGATACAGGGTCGGCCTAAGCACATCAGCAGAGAACTTAAGAAAATGTAGAATATATAAGCAATGGAATTACCGACCCTTAAAAGAAAAGTCCTGGCACTTGCAGCTAAGAACCTAAGGATACTGGTGCGAAGACGTGCAGCCAGACATTTTGTGGAAAGAGTATACATTAGAGGTTTCCATTGGTCCCTCCTCTCAGAGATTGGGGAAGAGAGGGAGGAAATTTTGCAGGAGTCAGAGGAGATAGGACACCAGGAAAATATGGCCCACCAAAACAACTAAGCAGGGCTCACATGGGCTCACAGAGACTGAAGTGACAAGCATAGGGCCTGCCAAGGTCTGCACCAGGTCCTCTGAGTATATGTAGCATGGGGGTTTTGTGGGACTCCTAACAGTAGGTACAGGTATATCCCTCTTCCTCTCTCTCTCTTTCGAGACAGAGTTTCTCTGTGCAACAGGCCTGGCTGTCCTGGAATTCACTCTGTAGACCAGGTGTCTCCCAAGTGCAAGATTAAAGGTGTGCACCACCACTGCCTGGCTGTGTCTCTGTCTCTTTTCCTCTTACTGGGTTGCTTGTCCAGTATCTGATTGTATCTTGTTTAGTCCTGTTTGTCTGTCATCTCTTGGAGGCCTGCTCTCTTCTGAAGAGGAAACAGAAGGGGGGTGGATCTGGGGAGGAGGGGCAGTGAGGAGGAGTGAGAGCGAGGAGAAACTGTGGTCAGGATGTATTGTATATGAGAATCTATTTTCAATAAAAAGAAATGAACCTGAAGGATACTATGCTCAATGAGATAGGAAGGCATGGAAAGAAAAATGTCACATAGCATCACTGACATGAAGAATCTAAAAACATCTAACAGAAGAAGACAGTAGAACAGTGGTTCCCAGAGGCTCAGCAGGAGTGGTCTGGGAAAAGTGAGATGTTGGTTATGTGGGGTGAATAAGCTTTGGGTATCTAACACAAAGGATGGGAACTTTTTTTTTTAAAGCAAATGTGACAAACTTATGAATGTAAGCAAACAGCTCCCACTGGAATGGGATGGGTCACAGAACTGGGGATCCACAGGATGGTGACTATTATTGAAACTACTGGTGTATACTTCAAGTTTTCTAAAAGAGTAAATCATAAAAATTCTAAAAACATACAAAATGTTTTAATTATATATGGTGATTAATATGTTAATTTGCTTGGTTGTGGTTATCAAGGTAACACACATACAAAAATATTCTCCTGTACATGGTAAATGTATAATGTCAAAAAAGCTAGAGAAATAATTTTTGAAGCAATAACAGCAAGAAAAAAGGTTATTTGCTACATACTTCTCCTTGAACTCATTTATCACCATTACCTACCACTAAGGGGTAGCATTTTCTCCCTTATCCAGATGAAGTTTTCAATTACAACAGCTTATAGGGCACAGAGGATTTGTTCAGTCTAACTTGTAACAATATAGAATTAGAATTGAAACACAAGCAGTCTTGACAGAATAACTCGCATGCCGACAAACACTTTAATCATGCATATGCTTCCTGTGCAAAGAAGGCTAATTTTCAGGTGTGGAAGTGCACAGCTTTCTTTAACCCCAGTATTTGAGGCCAGCTAGAACTACATAGAGACAGGGTCTAAAAGTGGGGGAGCAACTGTCAAGTGAAAGTAAAGTAAAAAATAATAATAAACATGAAGAATTTAAACAAATTATAAGGGAGTAAGTCTTGCTTTTTAAGAGTTGTGCTAAATTTCTGAGGATGGTGTAAATCTTTTTTGGAGTATTTTTAGTGGAACTTAAATTCTTATTAGTTAATAAAAACTTTCAGAAACAGCTACACATTTGTTTTCTCAGAGTCTGACCTCTGGAAGAAAGAATTCAGAGAGTGAACCTGACTGTGTAAATGATGCTAAGTAAGATTTAATTTTCTGGACCACAGCCATAATAATGCATTGACACTACTGGCAAGCATTAAGCTCAATTTTAAAAGGTTCAGAAAGCACATTTTTGTAGGTATCTTCCCAACTAATCAAGGGACATTTAAATTAAAATAAAAAATAAAAACAAGATACTGGTTTGCAGTCACATGAGAAAGGCACTGGTCTTCCCATTTTATACATGACTCACGCACACATTTGATCACTTTGGAAATGGCTAGCTAATTCAGATCATGAGTTATTCACTGTAATTCTGATTACTGTAACAGATGTTCATCTCACAAAAGAACAGAAGAGTCTTGTAGCTTTGGTTAACATACCAAATACAAATGAAATTTTCATGACAAAGATACCCTTAAACCAACCTGAGACCCCGAAAGAGCATCACATTTGAAACTAACGGTGGGTCCTTCTTCCCTCCTTCTTTCTTTCTGAGAGAAGATCTTACTAAGCAGCAGCTCAGGTGTTCCTAGAACTTGTGGGAGTCCTTCTGACCCTTGCATTCCATGTTATTTTGATTTAGGATTATACTCCTCTGAATTGTACACACAAAATTTCCCCCATAACACTTCAAAAATGCCTCTAGATGGCAATATTCTCCCTGCTGTGAGTTAGCCTTATGTTTTAGTAACAATAACCCACACATAAGAACAGAAAATTTCTCAAAGTTCTGCTTACGACTATATCTTGAAAAGTAAAGATAATGAAGACTAGAAAAAAATATATAGAATTAACTCAAGTACAGGAGTCATATTTCAGGAGTTATATTTAAAAAAAAAATCAAGAAACTTGTTTTTAAATTTTCAGAAAAAAAGCCCTTCAAAAATATTTAAGATACAATTACATTAGCATTGGGAAGCACAACCTGACTAGAACACTTTACTTAAATATTTAAAGCACATACAGTAAAAACAAATAGATTGGCCACTTCCTTTTTTGAAATAGGCCTCCAAACATAGCCTTGGCAGGCCCTTGAACTTGTTATCATCCTATCCCCACCTCCATGCAGGCAGTCTATTTTTTTTTTTAATTAGTTGTAAGCCAGGTGTGGTGGTGTATGCCAGGTGTGGTGGTGTATGCCTTTAATCCCAGCACTTGGGAGGCAGAGGCAGAGAGATCTCTGAGTTTGAGGTCAGCCTGGGCTACATATTGAGTTCCAGCCAGAGCTATATAGTGAAAGCTTATTTAACAAAATGAAAAGTTAGTTATATTATGTGTATGAGTGTTTTACTTGTATTTATGTATCTGCACAATGTGCATGCCTGGTGCCCACCAAAGACAGAAGATGGCATCCCAGGCGGTTGTGAGCTGCCATATGGGTGATGAGAACCAGACCCAAGTCCTCTCTACTAGGGAACAAATGCTCTTAACACTGAACCATCTTGCCAGCCCTGCAGATGGGTATTCTAGAGATAGTTTAGATAGTGCCTAAGATTCCACTCTTAAGCCCTATATTCTACTCAATACTCAAGAATAGTTGTAACCACATCTCTAGAAATAAAGTACCCTCCTCAAATCCCCATTTCCTTTTTTCAAATGGTGTGTCTGAGTATGCTTCCCAGGCTGTTCCCCAATATTTTAGCTTAAGCAATACCACACTCGGATAGAAACTGTTCTATTGTTTGATTTTGGGAAAATGTTACCACAGACCTAGCAGCAAAAGAAAGGACAGCTCTGGAGTTTAAGCCACTTCATTTCCTGCTTTGAATAAATGATAAATCTATTTTCTTTTTTTAAAGTTTGTACAGGGTTTTCAACAGAACCATTTCCAGCAATGGCCCATGAAGGGCTTTCATTGTTCATTTTATCAAATCATTTCAGTATTAAAAAAAATTCCATACCTAAGCCGGGCAGTGGTGGCACATGCCTTTAATCCCAGCACTTGGGAGGCAGAGACAGGCGGATCTCTGTGAGTTCGAGGCCAGCCTGGGATACCAAGTGAGATCCAGGAAAGGCGCAAAGCTACACAGAGAAACCGTCTCGAAAAACCAAAAAAAAAAAGTTCCATACCTAAAAAGGAAAAAGAAACTAAAGTAATACTGACCCCACAGTTTATTTGTATTTTGCTTAGTGCTGCTGCTGCTGTTTTCCTGTTTTAACTGATGTTTAAAATCATGTTAGGACTCAACAGGTAGAGCGCCTGCTGTCAAGCCCCATGACCTGAGTTCTACCCCCAGGACACTCAGAGTGCAAGGTGAGAAGTGGCTCCTGCATGCCATTCTGACTCCACATCTATGCCATGGCACGCATGAATGCAAACATGAAGACGCACAGAGTACGTTTGGAATAAATGTTCTTAGAAGTTATATTAAAACAACATTTGTCATGATTGCTGAGTTCTGGTCTACTCTGATATTCTGCACAGAGAAGACTGCCTTGTTGGAAGGCCTGGTCTTCAGTGGTTCTCAGAATAAGCAGAACTTTTTGCCAATTAAGCATCAGAATACAGAGGCTATAATGCACCTGTATTTGTACTTCTCAAAAGCTTACAACTCCAAGAAACAGCTAAGCCACTTGAATACTAATTAACACAAGCATCTTGCACCCTGGAAGTCATACACTCTTTTTTTTTTCTGGGCCAGGCACAAGTGTACTCAAAGTACTGATGTAACAGACCTACATGGGAAGGGCAGGCTCCGGTCTCACCTGCAAACAGGATACATTAAGGCCTTCTTGGCATTGGGAATGCCTGTTAGATGGGTCAAGACACTAAATCCTGGCAGGTTAAGAAACAGACCTGTAATCTCAGGACTCTAAAAACAGGCAGGAAGATCAACTCAAGTTCAATGTCAGCCTGGTCTACATAGAGAATTCCAGGCTAGCAAGGGCTACATAGACCCTGTCTCAAAAAACAGTGCTCCTGCACACTCACCAAAACACCACCACCACCACCCAAAACCAAGAAACAAACAAACAAACAAACAAATCTGCTGGGCTAAGGTGGCAGCTACCTCCACCCTGCATACCCTTTTCTGATTGACCCTCTCCTCTCTTTTGCATCTCTCTTTTCTCTGGGTCAACCCTTCTCTGGAAAACACACCCCCTTCCACTGAGTAACCCAATTCCTCTGCACCACCTCTTCTGGTGTCACCCTACGCTGAGTGGCCCCTTCTTTGGATGATCTCTTTCCCCTGGGTTACCCCTTCTCTGAATGACCCCCCCCCTTCCACTGGGTAAACCTGTCCTCTGGGTCACCTCTTCTCTGGATGACTCCCTGATCTAGAAGATTCCTCTGGATCGCTCCTTTTACTGCCACCCTGCCCTCTAAATGACTCCCTTTTCGGGATGACCCCCTTTCTGCCGCGTCACTTTTTTTTTGAGACAGGATTTCTCTGTAGTTTTGATGCCTGTCCTGGATCTCACTCTGTAGACCAGGCTGGCTCGAACTCACAGAGATCCACCTGGCTCTGCCTCCCGAATGCTGGGACTAAAGGCGTGCGCCACCACCGCCCGGCTCTTTTTTTCCCCTGCCGTGTCACTTTCTTCCTCTAGATAATGTCCTCTGGTCACCTTCTCCCGTGTACGATCCCTCCTCTAGGTGACCCCCTTTTCCCTGGGTCCACCTCTTCCGGATGAGCCCCTCTCCCCCGGACCACCTCTCCTACACCACTCCTGCGGTGGGTGACCCCCTTTCTCTTTGGGCCACCGTTCCTGGAGTCACTACCCCTCGCCCTCACCCGTGCCCGGGACGAAGAGGCCGAGTGTGGCACCATACGCACCCTGCTCGCGTGGAATGCGCACCAGGCAGTCCACCATGCCCTTGTAGCGCGCCTCGGGGCTGATCTGCTTGGAGGATGCCTGCACCTGCAGCAACAGCTTCACCCGCTCGATGGGTGCCACCGCTGTCTTCGACACTGCGGCCGCGACCCCGCCGACCATCAGGTCCTTCATGAAGGACATGGGGTCAAACAGCGCCGCCTTGGAAGACTTCTTGGAGGGTTCGCTCGACATGGTGGGCAGAAGTCCGACAGCCCACGGCTGTAGCCCCACACCGACACCGAAGCGACAATGACGAGGACCGGAAAACCGACTCGGCTCTGCCCTGGCGGGAAAGCGGCGCTAAGGATGCCGGGAGAACAGCGCATCCGGTGCAGGCCGAAGAGCTGCGCAGGCGCGCCCAACGGCCTGGCGTGGCGCACGTGACCCCAACACGTGTTTCCAAGTGCGCGTGCGCAGTGTACAGCTGCTGTGCGGAGGCGAGGTGGGGGCAGTGGGAGGCGGTGTTGAGTGCTCCTGCTGGGCGGAAGATCCTTCAGCCTACTGCACACTATGATTAAGCGCATCTGATTCGGTTTGCAGTTCGTTTACCTCCCGCTTCTCAGGAGCCACACTCTAGCCAGATGCTGCATGTTTGTAAGGCCAGCAGGTGCGGGCACCTTTGGCTACAATTTGAGGCAAGGCTGGGCTATGTGAGCCCCTGGCTTAAATAGATGGCACAGTCTGCTTTAGCAGAGACCAATCTGTCCAGTCACCCTGGACATCGGAGTGGGTATTTCTTCTCTAGAAGCCAACATGTTCCTCTGCCATAATTTATTTAAGCTGAAATTTCTATAAAAGAGTGGTTCTTGATTGAGGCCGAACATTAAAAGGGAGATAGGACAGTGCTGTGTTGTGTTGTTGGTTTTTTTAAATTGATGTATTAAGCTGGGCCCTAATTATTAAATCAGGTTTTACGGAAAATCAGGTTTCTCTTTATAGCCTGGGCAGTCCAGGAACTAGCATGTAGACCAGGCTGACTTTGAACTCACAGAGATCTGCCTGCCTCTATCTTCTGAGTGCTGGTACTAAAGGCATGCACCATCACGCCTGGGGCTCCCTTTGGGGGTATTCTGCTTTGCAGGTTTAAGAACCAATCTGCTTCTGAAAGACAACGGCTAAAATTTATGTGCTGTTTTGTGAACCATTTTCTTAACAGATCCACATATAAGAAATCACATTGAAAATTACAATTAAATAAAGTACTTGCTAGCAGTTCAAAAAAAAAAGAAAAAAAAAAAAAGAACCAATCAATGACTTTCTAAAGAGCAATTCACAAACTTTTTCTTCCTCCACAGAACCTTTCTCTTAAAACTTACTGAAGTCTACAAAAACCATTTTTGTTGTTATTGTTGTTAAATATGCTGACAAGTACCATATTAAAGATCTTTTAAAATGTACACTTACCCAGTTAAAATGACAAGTCTATTGCATAGCAATCAAAAATTTATAATTATTATTATATTTTGGTTTTCAAGACAGAGTTTCTCTATGTAGCCTTGGCTGTTTTGGAACTCACTCTGTAGCTCAGGCTGGCCTCAAACTCACAGAGATCTGCCTGCCTCTGCCTCCTGAGTGCTGGGATTAAAGGCATGTGTCACCATGGCCCTTGAATTATTCTTTTAATTGTGAGTCAAAAGAATTAGTGAGCTCTAACCCTGGCCAGCCACCAATGAAGGCAAAATTCCCATCTTAGTCTCCGGATTGTGAACTACCATGCATAAATAAAAGTATGATTTTATTTAAATGTTTTTTTATATAGTTAGTGAATTTTAGTTATTTTCACCCTGGTTACTTACAGGGAATCATGGAGTTGGCCTGGTCTATGTGCCTCGAAAGGCCTGTGTCATAAGTTTTTCAGGTTAGAGTCCATGGCTTCTGGGATCCTGTGTGCCTTTCAGGTCCTGAGAAACCCAGGCACTCCCTCAGGCAGTGAAGCACTCAGGCTGCCTTGTGTTTCTCTGTGTTCCCTAGAAGTCACTGAAGTCACTGAAGCACACGAAGGCTTGACAGGACAGTTGGTCCAGTATACTGACATTTTAACTCATGGGGTTCACTGCTGGGTGAGAATGTTCCGACTTTTCTTCCCAAACAGCCTACATAGCACTTTCCTGCACTATGGAAGCTAACCACCAGGGAGGAGGCCTAAAAATACATACATATATATATATATATATATATATATACATATATATATGTATATATATACATATGTATGTATATATGTATGTATGTATATGTATATTAGTGTTGTTCTATACTTTTGAAAATGTTATACTTGACAAAAGACAGTTGGACTAAACATTATTGCTTTGGTTTTTGGGCGATATTACACATGTAACCCCTGGAAAATTCATTCCATTGTATCAGTAGGACAGAATGAAAGTGAAAAAAGCAAGTTTCAACACCATTACAAAAGTAGTTTTAACTTCATGGTGTCCCTGAAAGGGTCCCAGTGCAACAAGCCTACCCTGTTACCACATTTGAGGATTCATCAGAAGCCGGTTACCACATTTAAGCGTCTTTTGGTACAGACTATCTCTTTCTTTTCTTCTGGCTTTTTTTTTTTTTAATTAAATACCCTGGCTCCCACTATGGCAGCATATTCCTATTGCTTTTTAAAGCATGTTTGACATTTTTCAGTAGATACAGAACCTTGAGACGCTTTTACAGGAGCTGGATGAGCTTTAGCTTTTTTGAACAAAAGCACCTAGTTTCTCCCTGGTATCTTCAGCATGCTGTTACCTTTCTAAGTTGGTGTCTAGGCATTTAGGCCAGGATCATAGACCAGGAATCTTGTTACTATTCTGATTACTGCTCATGACGTTAGCTGGCAAGTTCTGGTTCTGTGTATTTTCATCTGCTTGTTTTCCAGTGACTCTCCAACTCTGCCTGCGTTTTCAATCAGTCTGTTTAATATACTGTGTCCAGAATAATCTTCCTGAAGCAGCCACTTTAATCATCACTCACAGTTTTTTAAGTTAGTTTTCTTATCACATTGATTTCAAAACCCTTTGTGAAGCCCGCTGTAAATTCCAGAGAGAAGCAGCTTTTTATTTGCTTAGACTTGTAGTGAAATGTTTGTCTCCTTTAAGTAATGAAGTGCATCAACAAGAATGCTTGCAAAAGCTTAAGGAAGGGATGATTTCAACTCCTCTCCAAGTCAGCCTGTATTTTGAAGGTCAGGATCTATCTCTGGCCCTAGCGGACATGGCATCTCTGAAGACAGAAAAACAAGTCTGCTGCCTTCGGGCCATTTCCACCGTCTCACCCTCCACGCTCATGTTTGACTTGACAGCTGACAATATTATTGCTTATTCCTCTGTTACCATCTGCATCCACTTACCTGCATCCAGTGATACAAGACCAACAAGTAAGCACTACCTTGGAAATGTTACCTTTAACACCGAGAGAGCTTAGTCAAGTTCGCAAACTCTAGACTGAAACTGACTGACAGGCTTCATGACACTCTGTTGAGCAAAAAGGAAGCTGTAGTGGTTTACACTGCCACAGAGACACGCGGGGAAGGGCCTCTGTGCCGTGGACTCCTCTCGCCCCGGAATCAGCATGGTTACACTTTCTCACCTTGGACTGAGGTCACTTAGCAAATCCTTACCAGGCTGCCGTTTGCCAACCTCACACCACGTGTTTTTGTTTTTTTTACTTCCGCGTTGCTTCTCTTAGCATTCAGCAGAACATTGTATTTGTGGTCTCCTCTGCATGGGAACACAAACTCTGTAAGAACAGAACGCCTCAGCTATTTTGTTCGTTGCTGTCTCTGCAGTGTTTGGCAGTGCGTAGAAGTTCAGGAAACACTTGTTGGGTAAGCGTATATAAAGGTAACGTAAGGATAGCAAGATGGTTCAGTAGGTTAAGGCAGCCACTGCCGAGCATCAAGTTCCATCCCTAGGACCCACAGAGTAGAAAGAGACAGTACACTCTGCCATGCCGGGGTATGAGCACATGGACACATGCATGTACACACACACACAGAGTATAATAATTTTAAAAGGCAATTAATACTGCAAACAAACCTCCAAAACACTTTTATTTAAAACTCTGAATAATGTAGAAAAATAGCTTTAATTACATACAGAAATAAAACTCTTTAAGTTAAATTAGTTCACATGGTTTGGTGTGTAGGTTCAAGTTTTAATAGCACTTACTATTTGAAAAAATCCAAAATATAAATCCTTATTCTCAAAACAAGAGGGAGGAGTCATTTTCTCAGATCATTCCTGTCATGTTGTGCAGTCCTTTGGTTCTCAAGCAGACGCCATTTAATGTTGATAAATAGTAGCTGCAGCTCACACTTCATACTTTATAATATGCGACAACCACGATTTAGAGAACACACAGAAACAAATAATGGTTAAAACAGACAGACAAACCTAGTAGACTGGTTTCACAGTTTCTTTCAATTTGTGTCAGAAGTATTTAAAAAGCAATTATTTCACAATTACCATTTTGTTACACACGCATCATCATCCATAGTCCCTTGGCACAAAAAGTGAAACACTGTATACCCTCCTAGGTACAGTTTTGACATGACAGAACCAAAAGAATGCTAAGGAGAGGGAGAAGAGAGAGAAGAGAAGAAAAGGCAACACTCTAAAATTTCTTTGAGGCCAAGAAACACCTGACAGTAGTCAGAAAGTCCTTGTGTTTTTGTTTGTCTGAGATAGGGTGTGGTGGTAATCTAATTGTACTGAATTATTATTTTGATTGTATGTTAATAAATAAAGTTGTCTGGGAGTCAGAGCTATTAGAGCCATAGCAAGAGTGTGGCGGTGGTGGCACACGCCTTTAATCCCATAAGATCTCTGTGTGTTCAGGGATACAGTCAGCATTGGAGACATATGCCTTTAAGACCTAGGGGGCTGTACATTCAGACAGTGACGAGGCAGTCATGTGTTTGGGTTTACAACCAATGAGAAGGCAGAACAACATACTATAAAAAAACGAACAGACAGGAAATAGGTCTCTTTCGGGAAGCTGGGACAGCAGGAGGAAGGGTGAGATTTTAGCTCTGAGCTCTGACCTCTGACCTCTCGGCTTTCTCTTTTACATTGTTTCTGTGTTTCTTATTTAATAAGACGGTTGGTTACATCTACAATAGGGCCTTGCTATATAGCCCTGTCCTTGAATTTATTATCGCCCCCTGCCTCAGCCTCCTGAATACTGACTGGGATTCTAGGCATGTGCCACCATGCCTGGCTGTGTCGGGTTTTCTAAGAATGCTAGGTAGACACTGTATTTAATGTCTTTTGGAACGTTATTATTAGGATATGAACAGCCTAACTCTGAGATTTCTCTGAAAGCCCATCACTATGGGGTC